TCATTTCTCATGTTTGTCACCCCGTATAAAGGTCAGAACCGCTGAAGGACAACTGAGGAGCGATTGTGCAGGCCGCGTGTAATGGACGGAGTAAATCTTCTCTCACTTGAAGGGAATCTAGTTAAAGGCAAATGTGAATGTTTCTTTGGGAAACTTTGCTGTGGAGAGGAGTGGGAATGGTTGTCAGGTTTTACTGCTGTCGGTGTCACTGGGGGGAAATTTGCCCTCACTTCCTGTCCAGTTGGAAGAATAGAATAGGAAGTAGGGGGTAATCTAAGCAAGGGGTCACACGACAAGCATTTTAAACCTGAGCTTTTTTTTAACTCTTTCCCAATCAAAATGTAAAACTTAACTCCGGTATAAGCAACTATTGTTTAAATACAAAATATTTGTATTCTTTCTTGAATCTTTGTGAGCTGTGTGTATTCTCGATCTGTGCAGTAATCCAGTGTGAGACTTGGAGCTCCCTGTAATAAAGACCAGTCACTGCCAATCTCTCCTTGTGCAGGGTGACTGGTCTGGCCTCCGACCCCCTCCTGTAATAAAGACCACTCACTGCTGCACTCTCTCCTTTGTTCAGGGTGACAGGTCTGGTCTCCACCCTTCCTGTAATAAAGACCAGTCACTGCTGCTGCTCTCCTTGTGCAGGACGACTGGTCTGGTCTCCACCCCCTCCTGTAGTTTTCTGCAAGCTGTCTGAAGGGAAGGAAGGGCACAGCAGGCTCCACCCACAGCTATGCTCTCTGCACAGGCTATGTACATCATGATGATGTCACTGCTATTTTACAAGATTATATATGGGTTTGCAATGGCATTTGGTGCAAACAGAGTGAATTTATATCCCTTGTGGCTATTGAGGGATATATAAAGGGGAGTAAATCTGTGCCTCAAACATGTTATTTCTTCCTTTGTGATTGGCTCGCGACCAGAAGTGTGGACCATCTAACTTATACATTTTCAGGCAGCCCTCTGCAATCGGGGTTCACATTTTGATAAGGTCATGTTAAGTGAACCTGTGGTCAGGCTATGGACATTCATTATCTTAAAGTGACTGGCTTAACGAGAAATGTAAAGAGGAGAGCTGAGATGCTAAAAGCACAGATCCACAGAATGAATGAAGTAGAAGCGGGGAGATCCTTGCACTGCAGGTCCTCGGGTACAGCTTCCCCTCCAGTAAGGAGAACAATGAGCAACACTAGTGACCAAATCTCACTCCAAATGTCCGGAGACTATCCGTCAGAGGCAGCAGTACCTTTTAAATGATCTCACGCTGCAGCTATGCCATTATGAGGCTTAAAGAATAGAAGTGACAAGGCACAGTCTGAATATACCACCTTTTGAAGCAGATACCCGTTGACAACCAATCTTGGGGCACGATCAATCAGTTCTGCTGATCAGCATTGCTTCATCAGGAAGCAGCAGGACAGAAGGTGAAAGCACAGATCCACAGACTGAATGACTCAGAAGCAGGGAGATCCTTGCACTGCAGGTCCTCAGGTACAGCTTCCCCTCCCGCAAGACCAATGAGCAGCCCAGTAGTAACCAAATCTCTGCAGACTTGGATCGGAGGCAGCAGTACCTTAAACGATCTCACACTGCAGATATCCCATTATGAGGCTTCAAGAACAGGAGTGACTAGGCACAGTCTGAATATGCAACTTATGTAGCAGATACCCCTTGACTACAAATCCTGGGGCACGGTCGATCAGTCTTGCTTTGCTGTCACAAGTGGAGGGTGTCCAGACATGGCTCGGCTGATACAAGGGTGTGCATGTCTACACACCAGTTTATGCTCGTACACTGAGCTCATATCTGACTGTCCCGTGTCTTTTCAGCTTAAAGTGACATTAAACCCTCAGATTTTTTAACATAGACCAATACTGTAATGTGTGCCTTACTGTAATCCATGGTTGTTTCCCTTCTCTTTGCTGCTCTTCCTTTTAAATCCGTATCTCTTCTCATGCTGGGCAGAACTTCTGTTTTGCAGCAGACTGCCTTGTCTCTGGAATGGATACATGGTGTCTGTGTGTTGGTTTGCAACCTGAGCCAGCACTACAGGAAGAGGCACTCAGCTGCAAAGGGAAGTTCTCCCCCAGCATGAGAAGACATGGGGATTTAAAAGGAAGAGTAGCAAAGAGAAGGGAAACAACCATGGATTACAGTAAGGCACACATTACAGTATTGGTCTATGTTAAAAAATCTGAGGGTTTAATGTCACTTTAAGCAAATATCAACATTACGGGGCTGCAAATCTCACAGTAATATTATGCATATTTTAATGGGTCACCTAAAATGGTCTCTCAAGGACTCTGTTCCCGATGCTGGCTTTTTATAGAATGTACCAGTGGTGTAACAATGGCCATAGCGACCTAGGCGGCAGCCATGGGGCACAGGGGGGCCCGGCCAGGACATCCCCCTGATGCCGTCGGGCCACCTGGGTCGCTATGGCATCTGAGGCTGCTGGCTGTTACTGGTGGCTGTGAGGAGGAACACACCGCTATTCACATCACTGACAACCTGTCAGTGATGTGTGCAGCGGCGCGTTCCTCGTCACAGCCGCTGCTGAGTCATATAGTTACATAGTCAAGTTTAAAAAAGACACAAGTCAATCGAGTTCAACCTATAGAGAAAAAAAAAAGTTGAGACAACCAACAGCTTCGGAGGAGAGTGCGGGGCCCATCGATGGAGGAGGTGGGGCCTGCCATCGACCGTGGAGGAGGACAGAGGATCGGTGCTGACGGGTAAGAGGGCTTGACAAGCCCACCTGAGACCCTGCAGAGCCCACCATAGAGATTCTATGGTAGGCTCTGCAGGGTCACTCTCAGTTGGGCTGTTTGGGTTATCATGTGGGCGTAACTAGAAATCACAGGGCCCCCATACAAAATTTTGGTATGGGGCCCTGTGATTTCTAGTTATGCTCCTGGAATGTACATTTTGTTGAAAACCACAGGAGGAGCTGGAACACAAAGGTGCACAGGGACAACCAGAACGGTTTGGAATATTTGGTAGGGAGATCTCACTGTTGGAGCATCCAAGACTTAGAAGAAGCCCAGGGCTGACCGTGCCCTCCAGACTTCACCTATACATATCATTTTTGGGTGGACGGACACTTTAAAACGAAAAAAGTCAAACTTTTCATGCACAAAGCACTACATTAGCTCCTATTCCACACTTCCTATTTATGAATCAATTGGCCCCAAGAATGGGCCTTGGCTGCAAATTATGATCTCATTTTCTCCTCGCCATGAGGAATAATTTGAAATAAATGGAACTGTGTGCCGCTTAAAGCTTTTATAGAGGACAAGACCTTTGACTCAGAAAGACTGCTCTCAGTTTATGGTATTTTTAATTGGTCTGATTTCCTCCAGCTCTCCCTTCTCAGACATTCTTTTTTATTATTTCTTTTTTTTTTGTTCTTGATCTTTTTGCTAATTTCTTCTGTCAATATCCATTAGAATCAATTTATGAGCCAAGTGCTTCTCACTACATTGTAATTTGTGAATTAGTGGGTGACATATCCAAAGCAGTTGCCCCGATACTTACACATTTTCATAGTCTCAATTTATTTGCAACTTGTGACATTTATTTAAAGGGCCAATAAATCACTTTCATATTTTTCATGACCTGGTGTAGCCCACCTTCTCCAGACAGAACTTGGCATTGGTAAGTTGTCTGTAACTCGGCTTGACCTTGGTCAGCCCGAGCTGCAAAACTGTTCCCCAAAAGTAACCATCGTTTTTTGCTGAGACCATCCAGATCTTTTGGAAAATAGAGATGGACACAGGTCCACACATGCTTATGCCAATATCTACTTGTCAATGTATACATACATTCTGGTTCTTGCTCCTTGGGAGTTGGTCCTGTTTTAGCAAGGGACTTAGACTTGGATGTGTATGTTGCAGACTGGTTTCAAATGGCCTGAAAATGGAATAATCAAAAAATTCAGCTACTGCCTACCTAGAATGGCCAAGCATCTTTTGGTGGTACATGGACCCAACTCTTCTTTTTCCAGGAGATCACACAATTGTTGGCCTACGGCCTGCTAGGCCTGAGATTGCAGATATTTAGTCTGGGCTAGCTTATCTGTTAATACATACTAAACTTAAATTAAAATTACTTGGTGCCTGTGTCATTAGGCTCCAATGGGCAAATGCTGTGTACTTTTTGATATCCGTTTGAGAATTTCTGAGATCATTCAGAATTCAATGCAGGTGCAGTTGATCTGCGTTTGACCTGCTTCAGCATTCCCATAGACTTGTATTGGTTGAGCAATGGAACAAAAGCCTATTGACACTGGCCCTTAACCTAATGCTTCTGCTACACTAAATCTAAGAGCCCCAAAACGATTTCCTATCCCGGAGATCTTCTGAGCAGGACCATGATGATTTCAAGGCATTGGCATGATCTCCACAAAAAAAGGGGTTTAAGAGACTGATCAGATAGAGCTAGTCAATCATCCATATATTTTAAGTCTGGGTTAAAGTAAAGTGGCCTATGCCATTGCTCTTTATAGCCTATCCTTAACAGTACCTGTGCATAGAAGCGGTTTTACGCTTTTATAACTAGATAGCTGTGAAAACTGGGTATAGGCCCATTAAACGTTTGGTATGCAGTCTGTCCATGTACAGTCTGCCTAGATGCAACACAACTGCCCCTTTCCTGAATGAATGGAATTTTTTTGTTTCCCTTTTTGGTAAGGTTAGCAAAAAGATAAAATAAAAAAAAACAGCCAATGGGAAAAAGAGGGATGAAAGGTAAAGTGAAAGAAGGTAGTCCATATTTTGTTTTCACAGCTGCTGTCTAGGGATAGCTAAAGAGCTGTGACATGAAAAAGCTGACAACAACCTCTATGCACAGCCGCTGTTATATGGGATAAAACGAGGAATGGCATTAGTCACATTTTAACACTGTATGTTTCTTCTCCATAGTGGCCTTGGTTTGGGGATATCTTCATTTGAGTTTACTGAATAAGGATGAATATGCTTTGGCCTCTTTTGTAGGAGATGACCCTTGAAGAGAAAAACATGATTGCCGATTTGGCCAAGTGCGACTTTACCGAAATGCATACATACTTCAAAGGGAAATCTGAGGAAAGGAAAAACCGTAGCAAAGAAGAAAAGCTGGTAAAATATATATTTTATGAAAATGTTTGTTTTCAATTTGAGCTCCAGGCTAGCAGCTAAACACTGTTGAAGTATAACTAGACACACCACCCATCTAACTGCTAATTGGATAGTGGAGAATTAGGACACCGAGTAAACCCTCTGCTCATTTTCTTTCCTCCTCAACACATATGCAAAACTACAGATTCTGATTGGCTTCTAGTGCTGGCCCTTTCATTCCCATATTAAGGGCTGCAGTACATGGGATTGCAGGACACTACTATAGAGACCAACTCTGCTACTAGCACCATTGTCCACAATAGATTTTCCAGAGTTCTCCTGTTTTACCAATCTTTTAAACTGTGCGCTTTCCATAATATGCCATTGAGGACAGGCCTTGAATTTCGAGTTTAGGTGGATGTAGCTGGGCTATCCTTTTGCCTCTGTCCTCTGCCATGAGTTAAGTGAGTCCTCCACATGTTCCTGCAGGCTATCCATTACAGGGCAGATGTTGCACAGTTTGTGTCCTACACCCTCTAGTGAATCCTCCACAGAAATATGTCATCATATCGCAGAACCTCACCCCAAGAGATGGTTGGCTCCAGCTTCAACAGGAAACCCAAGCCAAAAATGGTTAAATCGATCCCTGTAGCTTGTCTTAAAATCCAAGCTAGAGGTAAGGGGGATCTCTCTAGCGGTTACTTGGACCCCATTAATAACCCCTGGAGATGTTTTGAGAGAGGTGCTAGATTTGTCAATCGTTCACTTCCTTTTAAAAAGTCAAATGTTCTTGGAGGGCCTGCTCCCACACAAAACTAAGGGCTCCCCTATCAGGTTAGGGGGTCCCAAGTGCAACCAAATGTAGAACAAACAGGGGGTGCCACTGCTGATAGAATGCAATGGGGTATTTTATGTTTAAAAAGCAATACAATTATATGATTTATAGTATAACACATAAATATTGTCTAAAATACTATATTGGACCTACTATCAGCAGTGGGACCCCCAATTTTGTTCTACCTTTGGTCCCAATGATAACCCAGAACACTAGAGAACCCCACTCCAGCCAAAAAACACTTTCCATTTTGGATTCTACTGGAAAGGTTCTTTAAATTCCTATTTCTGATGTTTTGAGCATCTGACAAAACAGGCAAGAAATTTTAAGAGTTGTATTTTCCCTTACCGAAGATAAATGAGGGCAGCTGTGAAAGTGGCTGGATTTTGTGAATTTTCAGTGTGTATGATTAATGACTTGAATCTCAAAAAGAACAGATAAAACGGGAACTGCGCGGATCCAGAGCGCCGCACTTGCCAAACCGGCTAAAATCTGAAGAACGGCAACACCTGCCACTTAATTTCTCTGCCTGTCCACAGCACTGCACCATGATTTCCTAATGTGGTCAGGAGAGGAGGGGGGCCCACGTACAGAGCTTTGAGTGTGCGGATTGTAAGGGCTAAACATGGAGGATCTCCAGAGAGGAGGTGCCGACACAAATGGCATTCGGAGTACTGGCACCTCAGCAGTTTTCAGATCTCTTCTACCTTCCAAGAGGTGCAAAAGAAGACGGTATTCACTACCAAAACTTTCTGGCCAAAGACTTGCCCTTGTTACGTCCTCAATGGAGGATCTACAGCTGAGTGATGCACAAATAGGCTACATTTTTGTTAATGGTTAAGGCATTTGAATGCAATTTTAAGATTTAAGTCCCAAGTTTAGTGCCACTTTAAAAGAAAACTAGTGAAGCCATCACATCTAAGGGTCTGATGAGCTGCAATACACAGTATTATACTTGAAGTCATAGTTTGAATTTAAAAAAGTGATGGGTATTCTTCATGGATCAGATCTGCTGTGTATGAACAGCTCGGAATTGTCATAATCTGTACTCTGCATTTACCCCTATGAAGTAATTGGCTTTAGTACGTGCTGCTGATAACTTGCAGCGCTGAAGTTTTATCTGTTTAAGCTTTTGGTAAAACCAAAGTTCACCTGAGTCCACAAAGCCCAAAAATGACTGATGACTTCAAGGTAAGATGCCTTATTTTAGAACTGGAATCCTTATGTGGTCTGAATAACGAGCAGCACCTTATGTGCTTTCCCAACAAGGGGCTGATTGCCTGTTTGTGGAATGAAACACAAATCATTTTATTACTTTTTTTCTTTTTTAAACTATCCCCTGACTTTAGAGAACAAGCTATGCCTGCTTATTGAGAACAATCTGCTTCTGCAGAACTGGCTGTATATGGCTCCTAAACAAGCCTCTAATGGGCAATTTTTCAATTTTCGCAAAAAAAAAAAAAAGATATTGCTTTCCTTCTGCCTTTTACTCCTCTCCATTGGTCCATTGGTCAGAGCTCACCCTTCTTGCCTTTCACTTATCTCCATTGGTCAATGACATTGCCCCTCCTGCTGTTCAATCCTCACCGTTGGGCAACGTTATCATCGCAACACAATTATTTTAATTATTTTAATAAAAGATCATACTTGCTGCCTTTTCATTCCTCTCCGTTGGTCACTGAGATCACCATTCTTGCCTTTCACTTCTCACCATTGGTCACTGAGATCACCCTTATTACCTTTCACTCCTCACCATTGGGCACTGAGATTGCTCTTCTGCCCTTTCATGACACCCCCCCCACTGGTCATTGAGATCACCCTTCACATTTAGGGACCAATAGAGGCTCGGAGGCAGGAGGAGGTCATGGCAGCACTCAAGATTTACCCAGGACCTTGAGATTCCTGGGATGCCCAAGGGAAATTTGGGAAATTTGGAAAGTCTTGGTGGGAGCACTAGAGGGCTTGGTTTTTACTCTTGCATCTAAGCTGGCTTCTAGTCATTTCTTCCTAGATGTTGGCGGGTAGATTCTTTTGCCAGAAAAGTCTCTTTGCCTATATTGATCTGGTGAGAAGGGCCAGATTTCCCACAAGGCCACTGAGACCCAGCCTTGGGGCAGCAGGGAGTAGAGGGGCAGCAGAGGTGTAGAATTCCTATCGCCTGACACCTGGGACATGACGCCTGGGCATGCACTCGCAGCCTTCCCATCTCCGCTGTCACAGGAGATCCAGCACAGCGCTGTGCTCAAACGCCTGTATTGGAAATGACAGGTTCAATAAAGAACCTTTCACCTTCAAATGCTATCTCACAGGGGTTTGTTAGCTCCTGTGTGATAGCAATAAAGTTAAGTGAAAAAAATTAAAACGATAAAGCAAAAAATAATGAAATACAATTTTTTTTTTTAAAGTAAAAGACGAGAAATAAGTAAAATTAAAAAATTTAGGAAATTGATGAAGTAAAAATAATAAAATAAAAAGTAATTATTAAAAAAAGGAAAAGATAATGAGATAAATAAAAATGTAAAAAGTAAAAAAATAAATATAAAAAAAAAAAGTGATAAAGTAAAAAAAATAGAAATGAATAGAATTAAAAATTAAACCATCCCTGCCGCCTCCACCATCTGGTTGCCATTCTTCATTGGGGGGAGAATTTGGCGTGGAGGGGGGGCATTGACGAACCTGACCAGGTGGCAGCAGAGTAAATTCAGCACTGCTGGTGGAGGGGTTTTGCTGATAAAACCAAAGCATTAGAAGGGGAAATGTGCTGAGGAGGAGAGATACTACAGTATTTTCTGGTGTTTCTAAGGAGGTATCCCTTTCTGTTGTGCATACATGGGGACCATGCATGTCCAAAATGATGCTAGGGATGCTCCATTTGTGTTAATGCTATATGCAGAGAGCCCAGTGTCTGCAGATCACTTTATCAGGTAATGTTAACTGGTGGTACTGTTGATGATCCATAGCTTTCGAAGGAGAGAAGACAAGACCAAATTAGTTTTTCTTTCTGCTAGATATTTTAAAGGATACAAGATGTTAAATGTATTTGTTTTAGAAAGGGGCATTTGTAGCACCTTTTTGTATTGTTTGAAAACCTGTCATGTATTGGGATTCTTTAGGGTTCTATAGGATGACTATTGTAAAACCTCTTTGTTTGTACCGCCCTCTGTCCTTGCAATAGAAATTGAAAGAAGAGAATCAGAAGATCGTGGAGGAATATGGTTACTGCATCCTGGATAATCACAGAGAAAAAATTGGGAACTTCAAGATTGAGCCGCCTGGCTTGTTTCGAGGGCGAGGTGACCACCCCAAGCAGGGCATGTTGAAAAAGAGAATTGTACCTGAAGATATCATAATTAACTGCAGCAAGTAGGTCACTGATGAGTAGCATCATTTCCTTGCATTTCTATTATCTGAACAGAAAACACCAATTTTTATTTTATTCCAACTCTGGGATCTGGGCCCCTATTGTCGCAGACTGACTCAATGCACTTAGTCTGTCAGTCTTCTGTGTTAAATCATACTGAGTGTCATTCAACCAGGAAGACTGAAGACATCTTGTAGGTAGAAAAGGTACTGTGGGGGACTTGAGGCAGGTGGCTGTGGTGCTCTGTTAGCAGTCTTCTCCAGTTTCTGTGAACTACAGTACACTCCCTCAACCCCTGTGCAAGTGGCCCTGCACTCGCAGTATGTCCTCAGCCTTGTATATTAAATGACAATGGGTGTCATTTATCCAGGATGACTGAGGATATCTTGTGGTGCAGAAGAGGTACTTTGGGGGCAGGAGACAGGAGGCTCTGCTGCAATGCTACCAGTTAGTGCTGTTATCAGTTGGCTGAACTATAGAACACCACTAGCTTTTATGAAGGGAAGAGATGTTCTGTAGTCCTAATCTGTTCTTGGGTGACTACGCTGCTTCTTTATGGATGCAGTGCAGGGAGTCCACATTGTCACCAAACAGACATGTAACGGACAGCCAACGCTCGGGAAGATTGGGAAGGTAGGTTTTACTTCACAGCATGTCAAGGATAATAAGCTTTTGGTGGTGCAAATGTGATGAACGATAGAGGGGTCCTCCTTCTTTGTATATTCTGTGAAATAAAACTTTGCTTCCAACATCTTCCAAAATGCTGGCTGTCCGTTGCCTGTTCTATGTGGTGGCACCGCTTACCATGCATCGGATTTCACTTGAATGGCCTTAAAGTGATGCGTGTGCAAAAATATAACTGTCACCAGAGATGCATTGAGTGACCCCATCACCCTATGATAAGAAGTGATACTGGTAGGACCACCAGGTAGAAATGAAGGAAAAAAAGCCTAAAAAATTAGAAACCTAATGCGGCCACCAAATCTAAGGTCTGGTAAGGTGCAATATATTACATCTTTGTTCTTGGGTTGAAATACACTTAAACATGACTATCTGTTAATATTGAAGTATAAGCCTTCCGTAAGCTCTGCCGTTGGTAAACTTCTGTCTATCTGCACCTTTGATGCGGAGCTCCTTGCTATAACCATAGCTGCTGAGTTGTACTTTGCATTCGTCTGAATCACTCAGCCACGTTTACCTTGCAGTGAATGTTCTTTCAGTATCCTGCTGATTATTCCCGAGTTGAAATCTGACCTCGGGGCTGAAGCCTCTGGGAAATAAATGGACTGAAGTCATTTAAAGGAAATAGCAGTTTGCTTCTGATTTTTCCTTTCGCTGGCTATTTTCAAATGACAGTTAAGCACTACAAATTGACTGGTAATTTGGAGAGTAGTGGTTAACTAAAGGGATTTTAGAAAATTACATTTTCCATTATTGCAGCTTTTTTGTGTGTGTAAAATGTCGTGCCCTTCCTTCCCTATATTTTTTTTTTTTATAACCCAAGATGTACGGTTAAAGAAGACCTGTACTCAATTATTCAAGGCCAACTCCAGTCCAGACTTTAGTTTTGCATAGGGCTCCAAGGAGGGACAGTCTGCAATATATAAAAAATAATAAATTTAAAAATATATATATATAGATATATACAGATATATATAGATATATATAGATATATATAGATATATATAGATATATATAGATATATATAGATATATATAGATATATATAGATATATATAGATATATATAGATATATATAGATATATATAGATATATATAGATATATATAGATATATATAGATATATATAGATATATATAGATATATATAGATATATATAGATATATATAGATATATATAGATATATATAGATATATATAGATATATATAGATATATATAGATATATATAGATAGATAGATAGATAGATAGATAGATATCTTTTTCCCCCCAGTTTTAGTCTGCCTTATGGGTCCTTTGCTATCCTCTGTGGTGAGAAGGTCCAGAGTGCTATAGAGAATGGCACTGCACTCTGAAGCACCACCAGGAGGTGGGTTCTTGACACCCTGGGCGTATAGGATGTTTGTTGAATGCCACTGGACCTTGAACACAAGGGGCAGTGCTGGAATGTGAAGAGTAGATGCGGGAGATGTATTGGAGGGGTGGTATGGTGATCTGCATGAAGAGAAAAGCTACAGTTGGGTTTAAACTAGATACACAGAAGTACACTGTGCTCAGAATAAAAAAAAAAAACCTTAATGCCTCATTTATGCCGGCAGTGTTGCTTGCCCAACACAATCCATGGCAAAGAAAATAGCCTTATTGTCTATGGTGTCAGTTCACACCAATCCGCTGGACAGGTTGCAATTTTTCCAAGCACGTTGAGGTATGGGCGGAGCAACAAGGGAAAGAAGTCCAAAAATAAGGGGGGGAAAAAAAAGACTTTTCAATGCAATATAAAAAAGCATGTGTTATCAGGTCAATGAACCCCAATACCAAACTCCAGCCATTTTATTTATGGGGGCGATGGCTATGTAAGGGTTAGATCTTCTGCCAATGGTTTTGATAATTGTGCCTTCTTTTCCTGGTGGCAACCTTGCACTGGTGTTACAGGAACAGAAAAAAGCAAAACGATCTCTTGCTGCATGTGGGACTGATTTATATCCTCTCCAGCACCCTTTCCAGGACTCTGACTTGCTGGACTGCAGCACATCAGACACTGTAGAAAGGCCTTGAGTCCCGCATATTAAACCATCGTGGTGTGTTTTGTATGTCCGATCCTTATGAGTAAGAAGAGATTAACCCTTGTTTGTAATTCATGAGTGATTCCCAAACACACCTTATGGGCTCCTTGCTGTCTCATTCAAAATCCCCGGAAGAGGGGACTCAATGTACCGGGGCATCTGTTTTCGGTCACAGAGATTACAAAAAAAGACCAGTACCAAGAGCAATTTTTATTTTTGTACTCTTGCCCCCCACCAGCAAAACTTTGTTACTTGCTGTTTGGAAAGTACAGTTACTTTATTTATATCGGTTTATTGGTTTGTCAGGAGAAACGACGAGCAATTAAAATGCATATAAAATAGCAGACCAAACAATGAACCGGAGTGCTTAAATGTTACTAGTGACTTAAAAAGTCTGGAGAAAGACCTTGCAATACTTAGTCACAGCTGGATTCTTTTGAAATCCTGGAATTCACTTAAGTGACACGGTAATTGTTGCCAGTTTGAGCTGTAATAGTTGGGAAATTGGTCCCCACCCCTAAGGGACCCATACAGCGGCAAAGCCTGTGGGTAATGCGTTTTCCTATCCCTATAATCTGTCCAAGAGCTACTGTGTATCAAGAAAACAGGATTGTCACTTCAGCACCCAGGACAGCTCCAGATCTATTATACAATTTAAAGGCCAATTCTAATGCTTGCAAAAAATTACCTAAAACTCAGGAGTTAAATCCTAAAACTAAATTCAGGTACCTTCACTAGTAACAAAAAATGTATTTTATTTGTGTATCAACTGTAGATCCTCCAATCATCTCTGAATTGGTGCTGACACTGTCCTTCTAGAGGGAGGCTACTTTTGTTCCCCATGGTCCCTGTGTGTTGTAAAGTAGTCACCGCTCCAAGCTCACCTCTGGGATGGACAACAATCTCAATACAAAGTAGTAAACTAAATGTGAGATTGTAGTCCATCGCGGGAGTGAGCTTGGTGCGGTGACTACATTACAACACAAACAGGGACCATGGGGAACAAAAGGAGCCACCCTCCAGAAGGAAGGACAGTGTCAGCACCAATTCAGAGAAGATTTGAGGATCTACAGCTGCACAAATAAGATACATTTTTGTTTAATAGTTAAGGTACATGATTGCATTCTTAACTCCTGAGTTTAGTGTCACTTTAGTAAACGCACACACATTGATTTAAAAAAAAAGTGTGCATCCATTAATTTATTTTGCACTAGTCTGCAAAGCAATGAAACCATTATCGGTGGATTGTGGGGGGAATGCTCAGACTTTTGCAGACTTGTTCTCACACGCCAGGTCCATATTGAGATAGACTTTCAGTTACAGGGCTGGAGGAAATTATCAATGAAATACAAGTAAGGTGACATCACTGCACTTGTGCTCTATTGAGATCCAGGAGTCCCTCGGCCATAGTGTGAATAGATCTGTGAATGAATAATGTGGTTGTGCGGCAGAGACATACAAAGCCGTAACAAATTAAACAAAGAACCACCCTGCAAATTTAAGGGGGGGGGGGCTTCACAATGTGACCATGCTTCATGTCACACCTAAATACAAGTGTAACATGAAACCTGGTCCAAAAGGTGGAATTGGCTTTCAAGGGAATAATAGAATATTTTATATTTGTTGCGGTATAATTGTTAAACCAGCAAAAACATGTGTAAGCAGAATGTTAAGAGATCTACTCTTTGGTGACTTAGAGATACTGCTTTTGTTACCACAGTGGGTTAGGCTCCCTGTGATACAAGTGTTTGAAAAATGAAGGTTTCCTTATGAAGACAGCAACCTATATTAGTACATGGGCAGCAATGGTATATGGCCTGTAACCCTGTGGGGGTGGGGGGCTAGTAGTGAAGAGGATTTACCAGTTCACTGATGGAACTGGGATAAAGGGCAACTGTATCGGTACTCCTTTGGAATTCTGACCTGAAGTCTGCTGGGAAACGGACACTTCAGGTAGTGTTGATCTCCTGGGTCACCTACAACTGTTACTGATTCCCACGGCTGACCTCTGCAGCATTAGTGAATGGAGGTCTACAGGAGGGAATCAGTGAGAGCTGTGGGGGGGACCTCACACATCGCAATGCCAGGAAGTGTTCATTTCCCAGCAGTCTTTAGGGTACAATTTCGGAGCCGGATGGGCAGCAGGAGACTCTTTTTGTTCCCTACAGGTACATGGGTTGCTCAGACTTTTTGCTATGTGTCAAGGTCTCTGTTTACTGATGCATCTACTGAACACAAGGGCCAATGAAAGGATGTAGGAT